GAGAGAGGCAACCACACATTGATGTTTCTCTCCCTCTCTTTCTCCCCCCCTTCCCCTCTGTCTAAAAATAAAATTAAAAAAAATTTTTTTAAATGTTAAAGAAGTGTCAGGGAGTAGTTTGCTGCTATATAATAAAATGCTGAATGCTGTTCTGTCAGTAGTAGGTTTCCTCATTTGTAACATAAGGACAACGTTACCAAGTTCACCAAGGCCACTGTAATGACTGACTGGGATTGATACATTTATCACAGTGCTAGGCACTAATAATAAATGATAACTATGATTACTACTAAAATAGAAAATTAAAACCAATATGAAAGAGGTAAGAATAGATTCTCAAAAGTCTATTTACCTTCCCAAGATACCGTACAAGCAGGGGATCTCCTCCTCCTTTTAAATTGTGAATCAGTATTATTCTAAAAGGTGTACTTAAGAGGACAAAGAAAATCCAGGAAATCTCTTTCTCTCTAATACTTTAAAATTACATAGGAAAGCCATGACAGGAAACAAGACAGTATTCTTTGTTTTTGAAACAACCATCAACTAAGAAAGTTCCAACTCATTTTACTAAAGTTACAGAAACAGTATCCCAAAATAAAGATTAAAAATTGCAACTAACTTAGCACTAGAACTGGGAAATTTCTTATGAAAACCTTGGAGGAATATATCTAGTACCCATTAAAAGTTCCAAAACTTCTAAATAGTGCATACTACAATTACTCCATGATAATTCAATCATTCTGTCAGCTTAAACTATGATATGATAGAAAATAACTAAGTGCTCAAAATGATAACAATGTCATCCAATAAATCATGAAAAATAACCTGTTATATGAGATATAAAAAGAAAAAAGTTACTTTTGAGGAAAAAAGTTTAAGTTGGGAAAGTTTGGGTTTTGGGGGGATATAATAATTTAATAAGAGATACTTAAATTAACAGTTCTGGACATTTTTGAAGAAAAATATATAACAATAAAATACTATAGCAGTGACAGTCACATAGACTATTTTCATGGTCTAAATTAGTGAATTATATACAGAATAGAAATCCCCAGAATACAGTATTAAGTGGAAAATTTTACTTTATATTTTTCTGCTTTAATAAAATACAGCAATCCTTTTTTTAAACATGCATTTTTCTACCTAACAGTATCTGTTTAGTTATATAAAATTCATTTAAGTAGGAACATCAAAATAAAAATACGACGAATACACTTCTGGAATACAATTATGCTATCTCTTCACATTAATTGTAGGAATCATCCTTATTTGTCAGGTGCCTAGTACAGTGCCTCAGAGACAGTAGATATTCAAACGATGCTTAATGATTAATAGCTAAGTACAATATGTTTTGCATATATACATTCAAAATCCAGACAAGTTTGCAAAGATACATAAGTTGGACATAGGCTTTCTGGCTGACTTCATTGGGTCCCACTGATGACTAGGAGTAAATCTTCATATCCATAGAAAACTGGAAAGTTGATAATTGTCTGGGTAAGGACCAAAAAAACAAAGTCAGGGACACATGTCACCTAAGTAACAGTTGCCTTATAGAGCTGGTAAAAGCTGCCTAATCATTCTGACAACCTACTGCACCTGTCACTCAGTGAAATGAAATTTAAGTGTATCCTGAACATTCGGTAGTATATTTTTAAATGGAATTTTTTTATTCTCTCCTTTAAAATAAGTCACTCTTGTCGAATTGCATCCTGTACCAGAATTAGGAGGATCATATTTTTACTTTTTTTTGAGTACTAACATTGTTCACAGGATTTAATTTGGCCATTAGAAAAAGTGAAAGCCACAGTAAAATTAAAAAATAAAATTCATGGCACTGAAGAAATTGTAGCAAGGAGGAAAGGAAAAATGAAGAAAGGGAAGGAATTCTACAAATGGGAATAAAGAAATTCAAATATGCCAATTCAAATATGCCTAATATCAATTATGACAAACAACCAGTAAGGCCTACTGTGCACCAGACACTGTGCTGTAAGTGCTATAAATGCTAGGATATAAATGCTAACAAGACAAAATTCTTTGGTCTGTGCCCTCCCTGGTGTGGCTCAGTGGATTGAGAGTCAGCCTGCAAACCAAAAGGTTGCTGGTTCAATTCCAGGTCGGGGCACATGCGTGGGATGTGGGCCAGGTCCCTACTGTGGGCCGTGTGAGAGGCAACCACATACTGATGTTTCTCTTCCTTTCTTTCTCCTTCCCTTCCTCTTCCCTTCCCTATTTATTAATATAAATAAATAAAATCTTTAAAAAAAATCTTTGGTCCAAAGTAATTCATAAAGCAAGACTCACAAGTAAACATTATAATACAATATGCATTTTCCTTATATATATGGGTCCTTAATACAAGAGTAAGAGTAGTATTTACTGATTAATTGGAGATGCAAGGAGAAATATAAGCATTAGGAGAAGCTGAAATAATTCCCAAAATAGTAATAATCCACCTCTTTACAAATTATTCTATTATAAATGGACAAAATTATGGCTTTGAAGCTATTTTACCTTAATATTCTTACAAGAATGTGCCTCCATATAAAATCCTTACGTGCCATACACAGAATTGTGATGACAGTTTCATTTCTGATAAAGGACAGTGATACAGTGTAGCAGAGTGAATGTCAAGAGACCTGAGTTCTCTGGTCCATGTTCCACCCACATTTAGGCCTTGGAACCCTGGGCAAGTTCCTCAAGCTCTTGAACTTCAGCAATATGGAAAATGAAGAGTTGTATAAAGTGACCTCCAAGATATCACCTTGCTAAAAATTACAATCCTAAAATATCTCTGTATACTTAAAAAATAAGGCATAATAAAAATGAAAGGTTTTCTAAATGTAAATAATTACTCAACCTACAGGAAGTCTGGAATCTTCAAACCACATAAGGGAACCCTGAGGGTGGTAGGATAAGAAATGTTTTCTAAGGAAAACAGAAAGTAAGTAAAGGTATCATGTTCAAGAGTGTATATTTTCACTCAGTTGGGCAACCACCACCCCAATTATTCACACAATTTGCTTTCCTTAAAATTGATTTCTTCACTAAGTTCTACTTTCTATCTCTTAAGGTTGCTGAGGTATTAAGGGAAGAAGATGTAGGTAGACCTGAAATAGTATTGATATTGGAAGAAAAACTTGAACTTGGCACATATTTCTGCTTAAGTGCACCATTTATACCTCAGAGAAATGCAAGGAACTATTCAAATTTGTAACAGAAAGGAGAGAAATAAAATCATATTGTTTACTGCTACACAGCTTTTTTTCCCTGTGTGCAAATGTCTGCTTTTGCAGAGTTGATAATTAAAATTTTACAGGACAAATTTCTACATATGCAATGCTTTTCTGCCATTAAAATATAAGTTTATAATGTTTTGGCTTTATTTTCAAGATAATAAAAAATTAAAAGTATTATCATGTCTTTATCATATTTATGTCAAACATCCTTCTAGATTTTTCTTCAATCCTTTCTAGTTGATCAAATTGCTGTTTTCATATTGCCAGTCTGATCACAAAATTGCTGCTTTACAGAAAAATATTTTTTGATGACATAAATTATGGGATCAGAGATACCAGTACAGTAACAAAAAAGGGTGTGAGAGATACACACACAGAAAGAGAGAGAGAGAGAATGTGCATGTATATGTGTTGCATCCATCTTCAAGGAAAGCATAAAGAAATGTATGTACGAAACAAAATACTACTCGCTCATGTAAGACCTAATAAAAGGCCTACTCAGAAATATACTTTCTAGCTTTTGTGAAATAAAATGCAGCACTGAATTTGAAAGCCATTTCACTAAGAACATGTCATGTAAAAAGAAAGAATAGTGATTTTTATCAAGATTATTACTCTATAAGCCTAAACCTGGATTCCTCTTTCAATTTATATATAATTACCATGAATATACCAAGTACTTCATTATTTTTTTGTGTCAGGAAAACACATTTTAGAAATATGCCCCCCTTCATGTATAGTGAGCAATTTGGTTCAGTACCCCAAGAGATGAAAAACTCCTCTCAATTTACAACAGTAAATAAATAATTCAGTTAAAACTGAAAGTGGTACCAATCCAGCAAACTATTGATGGAGAGGTTTGGCCTTCCATGAAGCCAGAACAACATAAAGTTTTCAATGGGGATTACTTGTTCAGGCAAGTTACAAAGATTAGAAAAATACGCAGATTAATTATGAAATAGCTAACATTCTTATCTTATGGAAAATATTAGGAATGTATGTGGGTAGAGACAATACCAGTGGTATTTAAACTTTAAGCAGTATAAGCTTTGAACTTTATACGGTGATATAGCAATCAAACATTTAACAGAAAAAGCAGTAATGTGAAAACCTAACGTATGGCCTCTATCAACTAAAATTTTCAAAATTTCTATGCAGGTCAGACAAAACGAAAAAAGAAAAATTTAACCCAGAAAGCAAAAACCAAACAAGTCTGTTCCAACACTTAAGTCCATATCCAAATCACATACAGAACCAAAAAGGGGAAAACACTCAGGTCTACAAATGGATAAGCAGTTCCAATACAATCCCAATCCCGACATTTTCCCACTCAGAAACAAATGCAGTGGAGCTTTTCTTGGGGAAATTGGTAAATAGCTCTTCAACTGAAATTTTTTAAGTGACATCTAGAAAGTGTGCCTCTTTCTGTCTCTTTCCCTGGCGCCTTATTGGAGGAAGGAGGGGGTTGTTTTTGTATTCTCTCCCACTGGAGCAAGACACAATCAGATGTTAGCTAAAGAAGAGAAACCACTTTTGACAACAGCAAATAAAAACAAAAGTGCCCTTCCACCTCTGACAGGATGGGCACACACCTCACACACCCCTCCCCACTGCAACCCCTCCTTCACCCGCCCCCCCTCCAGTACCACCCCCTCCTCACCCCGGAGCTACACTGCGTATATGGTTTGGTGCTGCTGTTGCCCCAGAGTTAAAGTCAGAGCCAGAGGAAGGCAATAAAGCCCCCACAGACACACTTACCTTTCCTGCCCCCCACTTTGGAGTGCCTTCCCTGGAGCTGTGGAGGATGACACAAAGGGTAATAAAGGGGGGGAGTGGAGGAGGAGGGAAGGAGGAGGAGAGTGGGGAAGTGGCTGCTCCTGGGTGTAGTGAGATGTCTCCAGCCAGGGCCAAGCAGCAGTAGCAGCAGCAACAGCAGCAGCAGCAGCAAAGAAGGGTCTGTGTTGCTAAGAGGCTTTAGGTCTCTTTCTCTCCTCTCACGGCCTAAGAGGAGGAGGGTGGAGGGGGCTCGGGAGGGAGGCTACTGGAGGGGTGAAGGGGTAGGAGTCGTGGACGAGGGTTTTCGAAGAAGAAGAAACTCCTTCTCCTTCTCTCTCAGGCTCAATCCCCCTCTCAGGTCTCGGGGCTGGAGGGTGGGGGAAGGAACTCAGCCGCCTTCCCCCCACCCCCCTGAATTCAAGGTTGAAGTGGGGTAAAATTAGTGTCCTGTCCCTTTAAAAATAGAAATAAAAGGTGCCCCCCCTCTGCCACTGCCTCTCTCTTCATCATCAGCTGCTGCTGCTGCTGGGGTCTCTCTGCTTGGGGGGGAGGGGGGATTCGGGTAGAAGAGACGGGAGGTACTCACTGCGCATGTCCCTCTCTGACGGGAGGCTGGTTGGTTGAAAGCAGGGGAAGGGGGAGGGGAGAAAAAGATGATTTCCCAGAAGGCTTCGAGGCGCTCGTGACCCGGAAGACATTGTAGCAGGGGGTAGAGAGGCGGGGGCGAGGAGTAGGAGGATGTCGCTACTCTTTACACCCTCAATCCCCTCCTCCCTCCTAAGAGAAAGTGGAGGAACGGAAGTGGGCGTGGATGAAGGCAAGAGAAGGTCACGTGTTGGGGCGGGAAATAGGCGGGGTGGGAGAGTGGCTAAGCAAGCGCGGGGCTTGTCGGGAGTAGTGGTGTACCTTTGGCAGCACCTGGTGAAGCTAGTCGGAGTACACAAGAGGCGAGCTTGTGGAACCTTACTGCGGTCCCTACATCTGCAGGCTGCCCTCGTAACGGCAGACTTTAATGTGAGAGGTAACATAGGTTAGGTTGGCGTCAGGACAATTACCGGGGGCACCAGTGGCGAAAGGCGAAATGAAAAGGGGAGAATGCAAGGCTTTGGAGACTGGTAACGCGGGAAAGGGGGGCGGGGGAGGGGGGGACAGGCTTGTCTAGGCCGGGCAGGCCAGAAAACAGGCGGGATTCTTCTGTCTTGTGACATCCGTGCCAGCCCTTAGACGAATCCCGGACGAGCTCAGGGAGACCTAATGACACTAGATTTGTAGCGGCGTGGCGACTACCCTCGGTTGCTGAGAGCTCCTGGTGTAAAGAGAAACGAGATCTGGAGGCTCTGCAGATGACTGGTGACTGCTTCAGGTCACAGCAGGGAACCTATCCAGGGAGACCCAAGCTCCCTGTATGAATTTTGAAAACTTCTAGGAATACACGCAATACTCGTATTGGAAATTTACCCTCCCTGAAATTCCGAAGTGAGTTTGAGCCTGGAGCAAGCTGGAAAGTCTTGGTGGAATTTCCCTCCTTGTCTTGGTGGTGGTGCTGCAACAACGCCTATGCCTGTTGTCAGAAAGTGGTGGGGGTTTCTGTAGTCCCTCATAATTGTGTTACTGCTGACAAAAAAGGGGCATATCAAAGTTTTCCCTTTCGCTGTACAGGTGAGAGATTTCTAAGTGGGTCTTTTAAGACTTTCTGGCTACTAGTCTCTAATTTCGAGCCTTTGGTTTCTCAAATACTACCTGTTTTTGTTGGAAATAATGTTTCCCTCATAAGATCAGAATCAATTCAAAATATTTAAGAAAAGATTCATGAATTTGGATGGGTAACGCTTTTTTTTAGTAAAATAGCTCTTCACATTCTGTTTATACACGTTGAAATCATTTCAGTATTTCAGCCATCGTCTTTTGCAAACGTTCTGTGAAAGATTGCCATCCATGTGTGGTATCTATTAAGACCAAGAATCTACAATTTCTCTTATTTACTTGCGTTGGTAATCAATTAAAGATACTACTTACTGTCTTCGTTTTGTTTTAGCAGTGGAACCTATTTATACACATTGCCTAACATTTTGTATCCTCTGTGTGGGGTACTCTTGTCAAATCAAGTAAAAACTAGAGTCTTGTACCTTAAAATTTTGCGTGTAGTGAAACCAAATGTTCATTACTTTCTGACAGAAAAAATATATAGTAAAGCAAATAAACTGCCTTAGATAACATTTAAAAAATTTTTTTTGTATAGTAAAATACTATACAAACTGTGGTATGGTGTTTTATGAATAGGCCCCAATTAACTAGTCTATTAATGGACATTTGGATTGTGTCTAGTTTTTAGCAGTTATTGATAATGCTACTGAGTGTTTTTAAACATGTATATTTATGCACTTAGCATGCAATTTTGTAGAGTAGATTATGCCCAACTTTTCCAAAGTGATGATTTATACTGCCATTAGCAGTGTACGATAGATCTTTTTTCTATAATCTCACCTATAGTATTTTTTGTTTACCAAACTGATGAATGGAGCTATATGTTACTGTTTTAATTTGCAGTTTTGTGGTTATTAAGGAGGCTAATTTTTTTTTAATTTATTGGTTATTTGGATTGTCTTTTCTTTGAATAGTCTTTTAAGTTTTTTGCATAGTTTTTCTATTAGGTTTGAGGAGTGTGACAAATACTTCTGGTGTACTTGGAGCATTTCTCACTTCCTGGATAACTTTATCTCCATTTTGTTCCTTAATGTATGCTATTATTGTTGATATTTGACTTTTATTAGTAATTTTATCTCCAGGAAAAAGTTTCTATACTTGTGCTGTCTAATACAGTAGCCCTGACTGCATGTGTCTGTTGAACACTTAAAATGTGGATAATGGTCGAGGAACTACATTTTTGGTTTTATGTTGTATTAAATATCAGAATTGATACTTGATTCAGTCGTTGGAAAACCCTTAACTATGTTTACAACTACTTAGATATGTAAATATACTTTTTCAACAGTAAATTTTATAAAAATAAAGATCAAATACTAATGATGACAATTCACCATCTGAATTGTCATGTTCAGTAAATTTCAAACACCAGATTTTTAAAACTAAGAAAAAAACAGTATAAATTCACCTTCTTTCTATGATTGCATAAATCCTAAAATTAATTTCACTCTTTTTTTTTTGTAATGTGGCCACTATAAAATTGTAAATTACACGTATAGGTGGTATAGTATTACCATTTGGACAGCATGGTCTCTACCCTCATTGTTGAGTTACATATCCCTGTATATTTACACTTTCAGTGTTGTTCATTTCTACTTAGGGATGTGAATTTTCTTAGGAGATCCTTTTCCTTCTGCCTAGTACATTATTTAGATGTAGATGTGCTAATGGCTAATGCTCTTAATTTTTTGTTTGCTGTACAGTGTCTTTGTTTCATCTTCATGCTTGAAGAGTGGGTTGGGGTATTACATTGTAGAATTATGGTTGGTTTTTAACCACCTTGAAGACATTATGCCAATGTTGTTTGCCTTCCATTATTGATTTTGGAAGTCAGCTGTCAGTCTAAAATCTTGCTACTTTGAAACAAATCTGCTTTAAAAATGTTTCTTTTAGATTTTCTGTGATTTCTTCATTATGTTTTCATGTGGAATTCTTTTTCCTGTTTTTGGGTTCACTGGAATTCAAAATTCTGTGGGTCAGAACACAAAGGTATATATCAGCTGTATTCATTCCTATAGTTTCTAACTGCTTGCTAAAAATTACAGTTGTGATTTTATTAGCATAGCATTCATAGTTAAATTTTTTGTCTATGGCTGATAATTTCTACAGTTTCTGAATTTCCTATGCTAATTATAGGTTCTGAATTTTGTTTCTGCTGTTTTATGTTTTTTGTGTGTGTGCTTATGTGTTGTTTTTTAGGTTTGGAAAATTATAGGAAGAGTGTATATGTTTTAGAGTAATGATACCTTTCTCAAGAAGGCATGTTTTCCTAGGAAAGATGATTAGGGAGTGTTAACAGTCCCAAATCAATTTTTGCTCAAGATTCTATTATACAAGTCATATGACTTCTCTTTACTTCCAGTTCTCCCTATACTGGTGATGTTTCCCTTAAAAATCTCAGCTTAAATGGGGTGATGGTTTATTTGAGTCCCCACATTTGGTGGGTCTAGTGCCTTGGCTTTTTTACCCCCATGGCAAAGCCACCAGTAGCTCAGTCTTTCTTTTTGTTTCTCCACTTTTTCTTTTGGATAGGTAAAAGGCCTCAGGAAAAAGTGATAGTTGTGTGGTGTATTTCTCTGATTTATCTTCTAGATTTTGGTATGAATTTCTAGCTGCCTTATGTCTTTGATATTTATTTTGAAAGGTTTTCTTTTGGTTGATTTTAGCAGGAGGGTTAATCTGATCTGCCTTTACCATAAATAAAATCCTTATCCTCTTCCTTTTGTTTTTAAATTTTGAAATTGATTTCAAGATCTTTCTGCTTCTAGCCAGAATTCTGTGTTTTAAGTCATATATCAGTTTTAAAAAAATTAATTGAATTGGCTTCTACAGCATAAAAAGCCAAGTTAATTAAAATTTAGAAAATGTGCTCACACTATTTATTTGTTCCTTTTGTTTTTAACAGTTTCAAAAGTAAAAGAACACGTGCTTGAAGAATCAACTACTTCTATGTGGCTTATTATTAAAAACAACTCACATCTGCTTATTACAAGTTTTGTTCTCAAGAATACCGCCCATCAGAGTTAGTGCTATGGTGGACCAAAACAGGAGAGCCTTTATCCCCTCACCTTGCGTAGGCCCAGGAAGGGTGTAATGTTGGACAAGGTAGCTATTTCCCCTCTCTAGGGGAAAACACTTAAAAATTGGGGGGGCAGATTCTTTTGCTATTTACTTCCATATTTCTAAATAACATATTGCTATCTCTTGATTTTTTTTTTTCATTTTAGGCATTATCTATTGACTTCTCACTATGGATGGTATAGATTTATTTAACTTTTACTCCACAACTACCCCAACCACTCCCCCATCATTACACTGATACTTTAGTTTTTGGTAGGTAACCACCAGTGTATAGTTTCTCAATATTTTTCATTAACTTATTTTCAAGCTACCTGCTAGTTGTCAGCATGTCCTCTCCATTGGTTCAGAAGTATCCCTTATTTTTATCAGTTTAACCCTGTTTGAGAAATTCTCCTAGAACATTCTGCTCTTTGGGTTAGACCAGTTGCTTAATAAAGTTGTCTTCCATGCAAGTTCTATCCCATGACTGATCCTCTGTTTTTTGTATCCCATGTCATTCTTGGTCTTATATACTCCTTCATTTTGTTTGGTCACAGATTCCAGTAGCTATCTGAAAGGCAGATATTTAGAGGCATCATGTTCCTGTAAATGACTGCACTTTACCCTGATTGTAGTTTGGGAATTTGAAGGAATTCTTAGTATATGATGTAAAATGAAGCTGTTTTCATTTTCAGCACTTTACATTTCAGTTTTCTTTCTTCAGGAAAGCTTCTGTAGTCTTTCTGTTTGAAGCTTACAGAGTCTTATCTTCATTGTACCCAGTATTCTGAAGTGTCATAGTGATGTGAAATGACTTCCTATAAGTCTGTAGGCACCCATTTTGTGCATTCCATGGGATCTTTCATTTTGGTAACTTGTGTACTTCAGCTTTAAGAAAGTTTCTGATAACTTTTTGTGTAGTTTCCTTGCCTCTGTTTTTTGTTCTGCAAGTGCAATTAGATATTGACCTCCTAAACCTATTCTCTTTCTACTGTTTTTAATGTTTTTCTAGTCTTACACTTTAAACTTTCTGGGAAATGTACTTGATTAAAAAAATGTTTAAGATTTTCATTTCTGCTCTCATATTTTTTATTTACAATAGCTTTTTTATCTGATTTTTTTCACAGCATCATGTTATTTTGTTTATGAATTTCATTGAAGTTTTTATTTGAAACTTTTCTCTGCTTACTCTGTTTTCATTGCAGTACTTTTTTCTGTTAGTATGTTTTGGTTTCTTTCATTTTAGAGCTTTTCCTTAGCTATCATGATGTCCTTAATTGTGTGTCTAAATTTATATAAGGGGGAGAAGAAAGCTATTTCAGGTCTTTGTAAACCTGACTAGGGCTTGGTAGCTATTGATGATTCTCACTGAAGAAAGATTTCGCTGGGGCACTTGGAGTTAAAAACCCTTATGTGCTTTTCTTTAAGTATTTGGAAGCCTTTTCTATTCTGTTAATAAGAGTCCAGTGAAAAGGATTTTTCAACCTCTTGCCTCTAAGTCACTGGTTATAGGATGTGACAATATGACACCCCAGGTGATACATGGTTGTGTCTAGAAACCTACTTGATTGTCGAAAGTGGGTTGCTACCAAAAACTAAAAACTGAAAGATAGAAGCAGGTGCTGTTAGACATTCTACAATGCACAGGACAGCCACCCACAACACAGAATTGTCCAATTCAAAAATATCAGTAGATATACTGCTCCAAGATGTAAGCCTGATTGCCAAGTGAAAGCAGAGAGCTCAGGAATCTAACTATTCAGTTTTTTTTTCATCTGTGATACCCTCACCTTCTACTGTACCTGGTATCCCCTAGTGTAGAGTTTTTTTGTATTACCTTTTATAAAACCTTTTGTCTTTTCATGGAGTGGAATAAAGGCTTTCATTTAATTTTAATTATTTTAGTACTGCAGGTCTTTTGGAAATGGCTTTTTTAATGAATTCTAGCCCAAATTAAAGCACTGGTTATTAAGTGACCATGATATTATGTATTTATCCTTTTTGGGCAGAATTGGCTGATGGGACTGAATAGCTTTGTACATTTTACTAAATGCTTAAATTGAAAGATAATGTGAGTTAAAATTATAAACCTAGGAGGTAGGTGAAATCTGGAAGTGAAAGGTGTTCCCCAGCTTTTTATTTTAGTTCCCTCCCTCACTTTTCATTCCAAATTATGCCCTCCATGCCTCTGTTCAAACAAGGATGTGTTGGGAGTTGCTAGATGCTCCTAATTTCTTTTCCCCTTGATCTTATGTTATTTTCCCAATCTCCTTCCTCACCTCCAATGAAAACAACAAAATTCCAGTCTTTTGCTGCTTCCTTAATGGATATGGGATTTGAGATTAATTAGTATGAAGTTTTGACCCAAAGGTTGGGGGCAGTCTTGGTAAGATTAAAGTTCTAAGATGGTGAGAGCTTTTCTTTTGAAACATACATATACAGTTTAACTTTTTCCCATGTGCTTTCATTGTTCTACCATTTATAAAAACATACATTTTTAAAAATACTTATTTTCAGAGAAAGAGGAAGGAAAGGAGAGAGAAACAATCAGTCGGCTGTCCCTTGCACGCCCCCTACTGGGGACCTGATCTGCAACCCAGGCTTGTGCCCCAGGACCAGGAATCCAACTGGTGACCTTTGGGTTCACAGGCCGGCACTCAGTCCACTGAGCCATACCAGCCCGGGCTACATTTTTAATATTGGTGACTCAGGAATGTCAACTTATGTTGCTCTCTTAAAATAATCACTTCTAGGTTTGTATGTGTCAGTCAACTTACATTATAACAAGTAAATACCAAAACGATTTTTTTTAGCCTTCAGACTGAGTTGTTTGTATTTTGTTTGATGTGTTATAGCACCACTATGATGCAATTATCTTGTGGGTATCATAGTGTTACATTAGCACTACCAGCTATATAGACAAATTATACATCATTTTATTTAAATGTGCAAGATGATTACTTTTTAAAGTCTCGAAAGAAGACAATATACATTCAGTGTAAAAGTGGTAAACATGGTAATCATTTGTGTGTGTGTGTGTGTGTGTGTATTTCTTGCACCTGGAAATGACTCTCTTAAGATGTTGATGTATATAACTTTATATATTAAATTTTAGTCTTTTTAATCTGTTTTTCCATTTATTAAAAGAGCTGGATCATAGAGTTTTGTCATAATAAAATAAATAATTTGTAGCTAATATCTTTACATTATATCAGATACTCTTACGAAATAATACTATGTTTATTTGCTTTATATTAGAGAAATTTTCTCCCAACTTCTGGGAGTTATTTTCTTGAATAGTGCCATGATCAGTGTTGAAAACATAAAATATGAATAATTTTCTTTACATGATGTATAAATGTTTTAGGAGTATCTGATTTCTTTAAAATCAAAAAGAAACAGATGAATTAGTTTAAAAATTTTTTTGAAGTAGCTAACATTCCCTTTAAAATTACTATCCATTGTTTTGCAAGCATTCCTGTAGGATCATAATCAGCTAAAGCAGATTTTTGCCCATACATTTTATTTTATAGGGATTTTTACTTCACTTTATAGGTTGTCTATCTTACTGATTTAAAACTGACTATATTTGCACTTACATTTCATTTTCACAAATCTTTCATAAGCTTGTGTTCTCACCTGGTTTTTTCTACAAATTAATTTTTAAAGTGTAGAGTGTTTGGATTTAGATTTTTGCATGTATGTCAGGATCACCAGAGTTGACCGTAGGGAAAAGCAAAAATTGTGGCTTGGATTCTTCCTTCCTTTTTTTTTTTGTTATTGTTAGTTTTTTATTCATAGACATTTCAGAGAAGTTTCAGGTTTATATGAAAATTGAAGAGTAAAGAAATATGGTATTTGTTTTATATGTCTCGGCTGTGCCAGGTCCCTTACTATTACCCCAGTTTCCCTTATTATTGACATCTTGCCTTAGTGTGGTACATTTATTACAGTTGATGAACCCAATATTCATAAATTGTTATTAATGAAAGTCCATACTTTGCAGAAAGTTTTACTCTTTGAGCTGTACATTGTGGGATTTTTAAAAATGTGTAAATGACATATTCGCCATGACACTATCATAACAGAATAGTTTAGCTGTCCTACAAGTTCCCTATGCTGTATTCTTTCGTTCCCTTAAACTCTTGGCAATCACTGATCTTTTCCCTATTTCTGTTGTTTTGACTTTTCCAAACTCAATTGGAATCATACAGTGTTTACCATTTTTCAGATTGGCTTTTTTTCCTTATCAGTATACATCTAAGGTTTCTTGTCTTCTCATGGTTTGATAGTTCTTTCTTTTTAGCACTGAATAATTGATATTATGTGTATACCACAGTTTATCCATTTACCTATTGAAGAACGTATTGGTTGTTTCCAAATTTTGGAAACACTGAATAAAATTGTTATTTGTTATAACTATTTGGGTGGAGCTCTTTGCATATATGTAAGTATCGAACTCATTTAGGTAAATGACAAGGTGCGTAATTGTTATGTTGTGTAATAAGAATGTGTATAGGTTTGTAAGTAACTTCCAAGCTGTCTTCCAAAGTGGGTGCCCATCTTGCATTTAATCGGTAAAGAATCAGTTCTTATTCCATGTCCTCACCAGCATTTGTTGTTGTCATTGTTTTGGATTTAGCCATTCTGGTAAGTATGGAGTGATACATAATTGTTGTTTCAATATACAATTTCCTAGCAACATATGCTAATGAGAATCTTTTCATATATTTATTTGTCATCCATATTTCTCACTCGGTGAGATATCTGTTTAGATCTTTTGCCTATTTTTACTGGGTTGCTTATTGCCTTATTCATTGAGTTTTAAGAATTTTTCTGTATATTTTGGATACCAGTCATTTTTATCAGATATGTGTTCTCCAAGTATTTTTTCCTAGGCTGTGGTTTGTCTTCATTCTCTTAACAATATCTTTTATAGAATAGAACTGATTAATTTAAATAAAGCCCAGTTTATCAATTTTTTTCTTTCATGGATCTTACTTATGATGTGGTATTGTTACAGAACAGCCAGTGAGGTTCTACTG